TTGCAAAACAAACCAGATTCTTTCTCAAGGTTTATTCATAACATGTAACTGTTAACCAAAGTGACCTGTGATCCTTTGTTCATGCCTTTTAAAAGCCAAGGACAGAGCCCTGAAGTGAATTATATTTTAGATTTTTTTTTCAAAGGGAAAGAAGACAACACAAGTATTGATTATTCTTGTATTCTGCAAATATAATCGTGATGCTTGTAACATGCCATTAATTTGTATAATAACCTGTATTACTGTTTTATTATTTCACAATGTAAACCATACATAGCTGGCTGTTTAGAGGACTACGGACTGACTGACTGACTTTTATTATTAATCATGATACTCAGTAACGGTTAGTTAATAGTTTCATTTAAAGGTTCTATCTCCCAACTTAAATTCATATCAGGCTGTCGGTAACATTAAAGTTTTGTTTTACATTTAAAGTTCACACACACGTAATACACTTAGTTGCGTAGTATTCACATCACCACGTAACATCACAAAGTATTTAATCTGCAATGAACTACAGGGGGGAATGCTGAAGCAGTTTAATGTCTTATATAGCCTCCTTCGTGAGGCTATACTTACTTAGCAACAAAAACAGTACATGCTGAAGGTCAAGTATGAGACTTAGCAATACGTAGTTAGATCCCTAATGGCTGATTCGTAGACAATTAGATGATATATTAAGATGTTTTGGCATAAACAGAGAACGTCTGCATAAACATTCTGTCCAGAGCAACCTCTGGCTTTGACCAAAACACATGAATTCCAGTAAGGTTTCAACAATATTCCGTTGTGCATCTACACAGTGTGATATTGAGACTATAAAACAGCCTGAGATGAAATGAGAGTTGGGGGAAAACTGAGATGTCTGACGATGTAGCGCTGAACTTATGAAGTGTTAAAGACAGAAGTAGGAATTCAGAATTTAAATAAATGTTTCCCCCCTCCGGAGGATAAAATGATGTGAATCGTGCTCTTATATTTATTTATTTTATGTAATTCCTTAGATGTGCGTATTTTATCTTGTTTATTTAATATTTATACTTAATCTTTTTCTAGCTATTTTCACAGTTTCAAACTTTGACATTGGGTTGTTCTGGAACCCACAAAGCTAAATTCATTTATGTTAACATGTTGAAATGAAAAAAAAAACTCCCTGAAAATTTATGGTGAAATGACATATATTGTTTTAATTTCTACAATTTTAGTATTTGACTGTGTGGATATTCTTCACTAAAGGGAAAACAGGATAGGGAAGAAAAGAAGAATTGTGGAAGATTATAATAGAAATCTGTTAAAAAGCTTTCATTAACAAGAGTGAACAGATTAGGCCCGATTACCAACATAATAATATAATAGGATATGGATGTTTATTTTAAATACTGAAGTTTCAGTTATACAGGAAAGTCTTTCATGATACATTTCTATCCACTTAGATAGAAGTTTCAAAAGAAAGATGACATAAAAAAATGAAGTTTATAATGCGTGAAATGTCTGGCAGGAAACAGGAACAGAGAAATGCACTTCCTAGCCTTTTCAAAAGTCATAAAGATGTTGC